TGTCAGCAAACATAGGTCGATAGACAATTCAATGTGCATGGCTAACAGAAGTGTGTGTGTACATGGTATACCTGTACAAAACTATTACACCCAAGCCAAATTGTTTCCTTTTGGCCTTGAACTTGACTTCAACTTGGTTACGTTTACTTAAGGCGTGGCAAAGCTGCCCTATAAAGGAGAACTGAGATAGTGCCAGCCTGTCTGTCTCTTGGCTGGTGTTGGCTGGAGAATTACACTGGAGGCATTACAGGTAAAACATCCCTTTGCTGTTTTATTTAATACAAGATGAAGCAGGTGAAATACAAGTAATAGGGCTAGAAAAGCACCACAGACACATTGAGAGGGATTTGTCTTGGAGAGATAGAATAAATTAGAGTCCCTGTCCTTATTGTTACCTGGAGGGAAAGAAAAGACGAATTTGCCATCCTAGAAAGAGCCTCATAGTAAAACGGTAAGTTGTCAGAAGTAATTGGATCAAGTGGGAGTAGAGATTCTAAGATGAGGAGGACTCTGTAGTTACTGTAGGCTGCTGTTAAATGAGGTAGAAAAAAGGTATCTGGAACTGTCCTATGCTATGTATGCAAAACAAGGAGAAAATTGACTTAATAAATAGCCAGAAGGGAGTACTTCACAGACTGTTTGGAGCAGAAGGTCGTGCAAGATGCCACAGGGAAAGCAATCTTCTGGAGGGTTGCCAGAGTGCCTGGCTTTGAGTTTGATTTTCTGAGGCTTTCACGCATTCTGTGTACAGGGAGCTCTTGTCCATCTGGAGTTTGGGACGCCCACATTCTGGCCCCTGCTCTGCCTATTCAGCTTGCTGTCACTGCAGGAAGCTTCTGGAAAGCATTTATTTTTTTCTCTGAATGCAAGGAGAGCTAATAAATTCAGACTTTCCTTCATTATAAGACAATTCTGGAACTGAGTCACTGAAGTTTTTAGAATGCTTCAAATAGAGCTCTTGTCCATCTGGAGTTTGGGACGCCCACATTCTGGCCCCTGCTCTGCCTATTCAGCTTGCTGTCACTGCAGGAAGCTTCTGGAAAGCATTTATTTTTTTCTCTGAATGCAAGGAGAGCTAATAAATTCAGACTTTCCTTCATTATAAGACAATTCTGGAACTGAGTCACTGAAGTTTTTAGAATGCTTCAAATAATGAC